CCCATCCCTCCCACTTCCCCCTCCCCCCCTTCCTTATCCACGACCCTCCCTTTCCTACATTTTTACCCTATCTTTATTTTTCCTTCTCCCCCTCCCTTTAATGCCCAGGCGCGCGACCACGCCAAAGGAAAGGCGATAAGGAGCCCCACACACTCGCGCCATAAAACAACAAACGCAAAATCATACAGTGTTTATGTGGGCGGCCATGACGGGACCTTGAAATCGCGGTGAAAATAGCCCGTTTTCTTTTTTTCCTTTTTTTTTGGAGGGGGGACTGGCTCTTTCCTGGAAATTTCCTTCCCCCCCTTGCTCTGTATGAGTCAAATTGAAATCCGCGGTTTAATTTCGGATCTTATTATCGATAAGAATGTTGGAGGTTTCAACTTGATGGATAAGAGATGGTAAATTTGTTGTTTTAACTAGGAGAGTGCATGATCAACCCTGTGATTAATAACTGGAATGATGGCTTTATACAGTCACTTTGACACAGCGTAGAAATATTTTTTGTTTTTCTTTCTTTTTCAGAAAAGGAAATTAAGGGCTAATCTAAACTAGAAATAATTATGTTTCGATTTATTTTTAACTTACATAAACGAATCCTTTTTTTGTTTTTGTTTTTTAATTCAAACGACGACAGCGTAAAACTATTTCTTTTTTCTTCTTTCAGAAAAGGAATTATAAGGCTTCGATAACTAGAGATAATATGTTCGATTATTTTTACCTTACATATACGCAATACTTTTTTGTTTTTTTGTTTTTTACTTCAAACGACGACAGCGTAAAAACTATTTTTGTTTTTTCTTCTTTATTCAGAAAAAAAGTAATATTAAAAAAGCTATTTAANCAATTAAGTGTAATGAGATTAAGATAGAAAAAGTTTAAGGTCGTATCACACTAGCGCTCTTTCTGTTTTTTTTTTTTTTTTTTTTTTTTTTTTTTTTTTTTTTTTTTTTTTTTTTTTTTTTTTTTTTTTTTTTTTTTTTTTTTTTTTTTTTTTTTTTTGCGTTTCCGTCTGAAATTGAGGCTTTGAGGTATCGTTTGCAAAAGGCGGTTACGACCTTTTCCGTCTGACTGATTTCCGTCTTGACCTTAGCTACGAAGGGTCTATACAGCTAGAATGTATTTTTTGTTGATACATTGGAGAGAATGAGTGACTATAAACATAAGCTAATATTTTTGAACGTAGGTATATACAATATACATCATCAAATTACGAGAGATGTTTTTTTTTTTTCTCTTTTTTTTCTTTTTTTTTTTTTTTTTTTTTTTACATGGGCAATGTTTGCTGCCTTTGTAATGCGATAAGGTCAGTCGATTTTCACTCGGAAAGTTCATTCGGAAACGCAAAAAAATTACGAAAAAAGGTGATAGTGTGATAGAAATATAACACAGGTTATACATTTTCACTTTATCTAAAAAGGGTTCATTATCACATCATATTTTGTTCATTATTCATTAATTATTATTTATATTAATTATATTATTTGTATTAATTATATTAATTATTATGATATTATATTATATTAATTATATTAATTATTATTTATATTAATTATATTAATTATTCATTAATTATTATTCATCATATTTTGTTCATTAGCACATCATAGTTTCTTTAGCTCGCCAAAGACGGTGATTTCCAAAAGCTTACGCATCCCATATAGATTGTCTCATTCGTCTACAGTGGAGCCTCATGCTACAACACATGAGTCATTCGTCTACAGTGAAGCCTCATGCTACAACACATGAGTCATTCGTCTACAGTGAAGCCTCATGCTACAACACATGAGTCATTCGTCTACAGTGAAGCCTCATGCTACAACACATGAGTCATTCGTCACAGTGAAGCCTCATGCTGCAACACATGAGTCATTCGTCTACAGTGAAGCCTCATGCTACAACACATGAGTCATTCGTCTACAGTGAAGCCTCATGCTATAACACATGAGTCTCTTCCTCATTATTTGCACAGCTGACCTAATGTTCCCTGCCAGAACCTCCTCAATTCATGGCGCTTGAGTTTGAAGAATATTTACTTTGATGAACATTAATTGCGATTCGAAACAATATCAAATGAATGTAATTACGAAGAGGGCATAGTCTAAATTTATTATACGAATGGAACTTGCAAATATTGAAATCTCTCTATATTAAAATGATAAACTTTGTTAATGTTCAGTGATATCTTTGCAAAAAAATTCAGACACAATCATTTATCTTCGTATATAATGCTAATTTATTCATAACTTGCTACAGGATACTAATGCAAGGAACACACATTTAAAACATGTGTGTCGTTCTTATTCCCTGTCTGGCGCGACCATGCTGAAAATGATAAAGATTAATTAGTAATGATACCAACAGTGATGATGAGAAAAATTATCATTTCCATTTTAATTATCATTATTGTTGTAGTTGTCTTTATCAATTCTTGTATCATCATAATCTTTATTTTCATTATCATCGTTTACATCTTTAATATTTTCATCATTACTGATAT